GCCCAGCTGCCAGACTGGGAACACTTTCCAGCTTTTTGCGTGAAAATCTGCTAAGGCTGAGGGTCCCGAGCCCCACCTGGAGCCCGCTCCTCCTGGCGTGACCCCCCTCCGCCCACGCCGGTGCCCTGAGACCTTGCTGGACCCCCCGCCCTACTCCCCGCCCTGGCCAGGTGCCCTCATCCTTCCTGGGCTCGCCTAGGGAACCCAGCGTGGTTCCCCCCCCCCTCCCGGGACAGAGCCTGTCACCGAGCTGCTGCGAGACTGCTGGTGACGGTGCAGGCCAGGCCCTTGAAGGCTCCAGAACTGTCGGGGTCAGACAGGCGGGTTCCACCATCAGGCCTGCTCCTGCGGGCACGTCACCCTCCACGACACCCCATGCCGGCTCTTCCTCCGGGGCCTTGCCGGGAAGTTCCCTCACCTGAGGGCAGGTGTGAGCCCCACTCCATCATCACATGCTCGCCTCACCTGCTCGGGGCCCTGCCACCCACGAGGACGGTACCGCGTGTGCCCCCTTTTATGCAGGTACAGTGATGGCTTGCTGAACACGGGATTGCGAAACTCTGAGTTTTTAGCTAATATTTTTTTGCTTCTAAAATCACTGCAGAATGTCCTCAGACAAACTCTCTACATAGGAAAAGACGTGGATGCCCTTAAAGAGATATAGAATTGCCTCTAGCAGTTTTCAAGTCAATATCTTCATAGCAGTGAGAGCTGGGCCCTCGGGGCACAACATTTCTGGAACAGATACGCCATCGTGAATGAAGCCAGGGCCACCAAACTGTACACTCGCACGTGGTTCAAACAATATGTTTTATGTATATTTTAGCACAACAGAAAAAAAAAATGTTAAAAAAACCCCAAAACATACCTTATGGAAGAAACAAAAGAGCCTCAACCTTCGTGCCAGGCTGGAAAGGCCAGGGTGAATGAAATGAACCTGCCCAGCTGCTCAGTTTAAAGGCAACTCTCACTCACTAAGAGACGAAAGCTTCCACTCTCGAATATCCAGCTTCACTGCCATCTCTGATAACCTTTATGATATCGCATTTAAACCCAAACTACGACCTAAGAGCACGAACAACCCCAGCTCCATCTCTGCACTGCCAGGCGGCAGGTAAGTGAGGGGTTAAGAAAAGTGCATCATTATCTCCTGGCCCGGAGGCCTCAGCCCTGCTCAGCAAACTTCAAAGCCGATGGCCTGGCTGGTTTGAATTAAGGTTCCCTTTTCTCCTACAAGTCTCCGAGCCCAGGAGAAAGTGCGGCTGCCTCTGGATTTCATTAGGGGCAATTTTCTTATCTCTTCCTCATCTCAGGCTTGATCTCCTGAAATGCAACGAGGCAGGCGTGGGTCTGAGCACAAGGTGCTGCCTCGAAAGCATGAAGGCACGCATGGCCTGGGGCCCCCAGGGAGCGGGGCAGAAGGAGGGAAAAGGGATGCCCAGGGAACCATAAATTGTAAACTTCAAAGTGCTGCTTTACATTAAAATCAAAAATTAAAAATCCTGAAACAATTTTCCTTTTTCAAAGAGGCTATCTGAGCTTTACAAAGTTCATTTGATAGGGCATCATCGTGTACATGCTTGGCAGAAGACTAAAACGGACTGTCAACAGAGACTCAGAGTGAAAGGTCCATCTCAAACCTGGCGGGGTGGCGGGGGTGGCGGGGTGGGGGGACCTCCAGGACCCGCCTCGCCTGCCCGCTGGGCCGGGTGCGGGCCTTTCCACCCCGATCAGAGTGCCCAGTGCACGCTGAGACAGGCCCTGGGGGCGATCCAGTCTGAACCTGGGCTGAAGGAAGAGAGAACCACCGTTTACATCGCTTTAATCCACGGTTTAAAGAAAGCCCCTCCTTCTCTGCCCTCACCAGAATTCAGCGACACTGGGTCCCCCGAGGCCCCAGAGTTCACTCGGGCTCTATCTATGCCTCTTACACGGAGTCCAGACCCTTTACCTCTAAGGAAGCCCCCTAAGAGGGCCGGTTCTCTTGGGGGAGGTGACAAAGTGCTGGTGGCCGGAGGGCATCTCAGGACAGGCAGTGACAGCCCCGGCCAGTGATGGTGGGCTCAGATTTCCTGAAGCCGATACTTAACTGTGTACATGAGCAGCTTTGAGATGCGGTATCCATTTGGGGGAGCCCATCTCCCCTAAATAAGGGAGGGCAAATGTCAACATTACGTCTGACCAAGAGGAAGAACCAACGACAAAATTAAACCACTGAGATCAGAGGAAAAGGCGGCCCAGGTGATGACCGGGGCAGGCCTTCTAAGGAGGTGATGGACTCCTATTTGCACAGACCAGTGTCATTGTTGGGCCGTTATTTCTATGAACTAAGCAGTTGGGGAAGAGACCTCATGTCGGCTGAGCCACCCTTGGGGCCAGGCCTTTGCATCACCAGAGCCGGACACCCACCCGGAGGCCGGCGACCAGGACCCAGTTTCCAGATGAGGAAAGCAGATGCTGCGAGGGGTCACGTGACCCATGACCTCTGCTGCCCCCCGCCCCCCAGCATGAGGCAGGGTCCTTGGCCAAACCTTTACGGGTGTGTCCTTTGCTGGAATCTCACCCGCCAGACACGACACACTTGTGCTTACACGCACACGCACCCACAGACACACACACACCAACACAGGTGCACACGTGTCCACACAGAGGCATGTGCATCCCACATACACACACCACACACACCTGCATGCAGGACAACAAGAGCACGCAGTCAAAGAGAAAGGGAGAAAAGTCCTCTGGAAACTGCATGGGATTCCAACGCCTGGTGCAGACAGGATGCTTTTAACAAAGACTGAAGGTCTGTCGGCTTCGCCACCAAACAGAGCTCTCTCCTCCTCCCGAGGGCCCCTGGGACTCGCACTTGGGCAGGTGCTGGCCCGCAGGCCACCTTGCTCCTTCTGCAGCAGGAGAAGGAAACCTGTGCTCAGAGCACCCATTTCTGGCCCCAGGAATCCCCTCAATCTGGCCCAGATCAAAGCAGAAATCACCATTTGATGACAAAGGCAAACACTGTGTTTTACAACATCACCCTGCAGCCCGATTCCACCAGCCCAGCGTAACGTGAAGGAACCGGGATGAATGCGGAGTCGTCTCTCGATTTTTATGTCGATAAAGGAGGGATATTTATTTCTGTTTCCCATTATCTCACAAAAGGTTTTTTGGAAGAAAAATTAGGAGATTATGAGCCCATTCAGATTCGAGCACCCGCTTTTCATTAACATAACACTTTCTGACACCTTGCCTCAGTCTCCGTCACTTTCTTACTGTTAAGACGCGAGACAGATTCCTGTTTTTCATTTAATGCACAAGACAGGAACACTGCAGACAGAAGGTGAGAAGACGGACTTGAAGATGCCACCTTTGGCTTAAGGAGCAAACTGGGGGGCGTCCCTGGTGGTGCGGTGGTTGAGGGTCCGCCTGCCAATGCAGGGGACGCGGGGTCGTGCCCAGGTCTGGGAAGATCCTGCGTGCCGCGGAGCGGCTGGGCCCGTGAGCCGTGGCCGCTGAGCCTGCGCATCCGGAGCCTGTGCTCCGCAACGGGAGAGACCGCAGCAGTGAGGGGCCCACGTACCACAAAAACAAACAAAAAAAAGAGTGCTGATGGGGCATATTCCTCTAAGTAACACACGGGCAGTACTCAGCAATAGGGCATAGACAGTCAAGGGCATTTGAACTGAATCAACAGATCACTAAATGTTTATTGAGCTACCTAGTGAAATGGGGAATGGGCTAAGGTAAAATCCCATCTCTGTTCATTATACTCACACTGTACTTCCTAAATATTTTCAACATTCACTCTCTAACTTTGTTTTTCTTTTTCAAAATTGTTTGAAAAAGAGCTATCCTATGTTCTTCACACTTCCGTCTGTATGCATGTATGTATGCATGCATTTATATTGAAGTACAGTTGATTTACAATATTATATTAGTTTCAGGTGTATAACATAATAATTCAATATTTTTATAATTATACTCTATTTAAAGTTAGTGTAAAATAAATGGCTATATTTCTCTATGTTGTATAATATATCCTGTTGATTATTTGCTTTATGCATAGGACTTTGTATCTCCTAATCTCATATCCCTATCTTGCACTTCCCCACTTTCCCTTCCCTAGTGGTAACCACTACTTTGTTTTCTTTATCTGTGAGTCTATTTCTGCTTTGTTACATACATATTTTGTTTTATTTTTAAGATTCCACATACAAATAATAATGTAGCATATTTGTCTTTCTCTGACTTATTTCATTAAGCATAATACTCTCTAGAACCATCCATGTTGTTGCAAATGGCAGAATTCCATTCTTTTTCATGGCTGAGTAGTATTCCATTTTATATACATTTATACACGTGTATGTATGTATATATATATATATATATGTCACGTTTTCTTTATCCATTCAGGGGCCCCCGAACACAAAAAAAAAAAAAAAAAAAAAAAAAAAGAGCAAACTGGGAGAAGCCCCAGAGCCCATTCCTCCAAAACACAGAGACAGAAAGGTTGGTCCCTGCAGGCACATGCTCACGGCGCTGAGGGCCCTGCCCAGGGACCATGTTGGGGTGACGGGGGGCTTGCTCACGAAGGAAGATGAAGGTCAAAGGAAAACAGTAAACCCCGCAAGAGCTGGAGCCACCTGCGAATTCCCGATTGTTCCCTAAATGCCCCAGGGGGCAGGAAGCCGGGACTCTTACCTGAAGGCCGCCAAGTACTCTGCGTCTCCCATGGGGGGGTCGAGGCCGCCGGTGAAAGCCATGTTGACGTTGAAGCCCACGCCGGGCCCCGTGCCCACCTGCATGGAGGAGAGAGATGGGCGTCACAGACCATGACCCTGGCGGCCCTGCCGGTGCGGCCCTAGCCCGCCCGGGTCCCCAAGGCCCCGACACACTGCCTTCAACGATGGAGCATTTTCAGAGGCAGGGCCCCCGTCCCCCTCCACGGGTGGAGCGTGTGGGGCTGCCCTGCCCAGGGAAGGGGCCGGCAGCGTGCGCCCACAGGGCCCTGCGAGCAAGACTGTCCTCCCCAACTTCCTTCCCAGAAGGAGACCCAGAGGCAGACGATCCTTTTTCCTTGGGCGGGATTCCCCACTGTCGGGGCCTCTTTGTTCAGAATGTGGGGCTCTGCTGGGGCATCGGGGTGTCCCACAGGATCCTGCCACTCCGGGGCCCACCGTGTGGCACCGGACAGGCGAGAGGACGGCCCCCGCCCAAGCGACAGGACGAAGGGCGTGGCTTGGAGCTGCACTGTGACTGCACACAGCAGCCTCTCCTGCAGGACAAGGGCACCCCACTCTCACCCGTTCATAAATCCTGCGGTCTGTCTGGATTAGAACCAGAAAGCTCTACTGTTTTCCATCTGTACTTGGACAAGGTGAAGCCCACGTGGGCACAGGCGATGGAATCGAGGCTGACGGCTGCCCCCATCCCCGCTGGGAGCCCTTGCTCTGCGTTGCAGGTGTGGCCGCACCTGTTCTCATGCCCCCCCCAGGCCCAGCACGGGGGGAGCCCCGCTCACCTCGTCGGGTGCCCCGCTGCCCGGGAAGAAATTCCCGTCGTCGTAGCGGTGCAGCGAGACGTACAGCACGCCGGGGTCACTGTAGAAGGCCTGCTGGGTCCCGTTCCCGTGGTGCACGTCCTGGAAGGGCGGGGGG